TATGTATAAGTAAAACTTATGTAATATAAAGTGAAAATAAAATCTGGGACATCGAGGAGGTCCAGGCAAGAGACACAGACCACATACCCCATACAGCCACCAAGCGTGGACTACACATTCTGTTCTATGCTTTCTAGCAGCCAATATGAAGAGAGAACATTTTTTCATTTTCAAAATTTATAATATCCAAAATATGAAAGTACTGATCATGTTTTGAAAGGAATGTAAGATATGCAAAATAAAGAACCATACATAATGCAAAGCAGACATTGCTCAGCAAAAGAAGAAATGAAGGATTAGAAAGTAATACAGTGGTTGGATTAAATAGATCACTTCTGCTTTGACTGCCAGAAAATGCTTTGACGCTAATGAGGCATTTATTTAATGAATACTTATCTAACCCTCACTATATTCCAGGCACCTTTCTAAATGCTTTAGGAAAATATAATTAATGTAATTATCAAAATAACATTTTGAGGTAGGTTATATTAACATACATCGATTTTACAAGTAAGGAAACTAAGTCCCAGGGAGATGCAAAAATTTGCTGTCACACCGTTAAGTGGGAGTAACAATTAGGCTTGACTGGAAACAGAATCACTATGAGTGGCAGAGATATAGGGGTATTATAGAGATCAGGCCCCGCTCAATAACGCGAGCTGCTTGCACAATCTTTGCAAGTCTATTGCCTCTGTTCCTGGTGCTGGGATTCAAGTCAGCAGGGCCAGCAGCAGAAGGGAAAATGAACGTGAAGTTGGGGAAACAAATACAAGCTGGAAATGTCTGCCTCTTTATCACTACCTCCAATCCTGATGGCGAGGGCGACCTGCAGGATAGATGGCACCTTCACCAGGTTGCCATCTCACTAACCCAGGATTTGAAGAAGCTAAAGGCTAAGGAGCTCAGACAGGAGCTGGAGGAGCTATGGTCTTGGCTGCTGCCCTAATCAGCAAGCCAAGTGAGCCGATGAACTGCAATGTGGGTAAACTATGTCAGCTTCTGTGCTACAGTAAACTTCAGAGTATAACCAGATACATACAAGGATTAGACAGCCAGGAAATACAGTTCCAGCTTAGCTAAGCAGACGCAAAACAAAGCCACTCACAGGAAATTTGGCTTTTAAATGCATGTCTTTAACAACTACGCATTCACACCTCTTCCTTTAAGTTGGGTCTTGAAGATCCATTAGGAGTTACCCAGACCAAGATCTAGGAAGTATTCCAGGTAAATGAAACTATATGTACAAATATAAGATAAATTGCACAATATGTCAAAGACCTCTTAGGAACCAATTTTGCTTGAATGTACATGAGAGAGAGTGTAGGAGATAAGAAGAAGCTGATAGCATCCAGATGTGTGGTCTCTGTCTTGTAGATAATTGTAAGTTTTTATTATTCTAACTATTGCCTTCATTCCTACTAATAGGTTCCAAACAGATGCTGTAGCCAAATTCAGTCTTATTTATTTCTTATGGCATGTTGCGTCCAAAGTCCTCCATCGTCAGGACATCAATGCCAATTCCACTGACTCTAAAGAGGCTGTTGATTTTGTTAAAAGTCACCAAAACTTCAGCATTGCAGAATTTATCAGGAACAATGGGTTTTATCTCAACAGTAACACTTTGTTGGACTGTGACTTTTTTGGAATCCCATGTGGTCCAAAGGTAATGATTTGATATTTCTTCAAATATAATCAATATAATAAGATACTTTATTGTACTATTTTGCCTTGAGATAAAGTTTACTCCTATGGAGAATCAATCTAAATTTTCTCAAAGATTGTATTTCACTAGCTCAGCCTTATGATATCAGGGGTATGGAATGTACATGAGACAAATTTCCTCTTTCAAAAAGTTAGATAAGAAAAAATAGGAAACAGAAATCTTTGGTTGCCTTTCTTGTATCATAATCTTCAAAAAAGTCAACATAAGAAGATATTTTAATTCTTTCCATTCATCAACAGCCTATTCCAAGATAGCATTTTTGTCATCATTAAGGAGCCATCTGTTTTTATGCTTGTGATATTGCATTAGAAGCTATAGAAAATAAGAGGACCCCAGCATTTAACTGTGAAAATTATATATAACAGATATAGTATATATTCACTCATAATACATAAAATCCTGTTTTC